AATTTAGATTTTCATTCTCTTGAATTTATATTGAAATCAGTTTAATATTTACAAGATTTTTCATGGATTCAGTCATGCTTTTTTCCATTGTTCAATCAAATTATTTATTGAGTTTCAATTTCAATTATTTGTTGTTGAGATTAGTTTAACAATTATTCTATCCTTCATAAATCCAGTCATGCTTTTTCTATCATTAGATTAAACTAATTGTTAAATTTTAATCTCAATTTCAGTTTATTGGGGGATTGATTACTGCCTTAAGCTTGATGTGTATGATCGATCTTTGATCTTGTTCCAATAAAATTGTGTGAATATGTCTTAAGTCTAAATTCTAGAATTACATTTGTAAATTAAATTGATTTTCATGATATATTTTTCAATTAGAGTGTCGGGATGAAAGCATCTAATTATATTATAAAAATGAATAATAGATATGATTGATCCAATCCAATTGAGGGAATTCTGATGTTTCACCGTTTCAAATTATTGATTTTAATTTCACCTTTCGATATTGAATTTTATTACAAATTTGAGAGAACAATTCAGCATTTTTGATCCTTTAAATATTCTTCCATTTCCATGTGGATACGATACCCCAAAATTGCACTAAAACTACCGCGTTATTCTTTGGGCGTAATCAAATTTTGACGTCGTTGCCAGAGAGATGGTACAAAATACGCAAGGATAAACTACAAAAGGATGACATCGTTCCTTTTATTTTTTTTTTAGTTAGTTTAATTTTATTTATTATATTTTTCATACTTTCACTTTATTTTCTTTTACTTTTTTTATGAGCAGGTATCGAGGAAAACGAGAACGATCTGCGAATAGACCCGACACAGAGTTGAACATCTTTTTAACCCTGTTTTTTATTCTATATCTGTTAAAACTGACACTTCATCACATAACACAATGTCTGACAATGAGCATGATATATCGTATAGAATTTTGCATGATTATCTGCACCCCACGCGTACATCTACACATTTATGTATTATGTTTACACCCAACATGCCACGTATAGATTCTAAATCTGGAATGATTCAACTTCTTTCTAACTTTCATGGATTTGAAAATGAAAACTCGTATTTGCATGTTAGGGAATTTGAGGAGGTTGTAGCAACCTTCCACAATTAACATGGTACAATGGATGCAATTATACTTAAATTCTTTCCATTTTTTTTACAATGGTAACAAATTTCATAACCAATTGTAAAAAAAAAAAAATAATAATAATACTTTAATGGATAATTTTCATGTAAAACAAAGTCAAACGAACACTAAACTTTGATTAAAAAAAATGATTTTGTAGGATTTTTTTTTAATTTTTTTACTTTTTGGCAGTGGAAACAAATTTTATAACCAATTGTGGAAAAAATTATCACTTTAATGGACAATTTCCATGTAAGACAAAGTCAAATGATCACAAAATTTTAAAATTTTTCTGATGGAAAATCATACCAATCAAACACACTTAATTAACAATTATCTGAAAAACAATTTCTAGGTAATTACTTTCCCTGTAATTCATTTTCTTTCCACCTATTTTCCACCCTTAGAATCAAACGAACCCTATGTGTTTGTATAATATGCAAATGTGAAAATGAATTTCAATTCCATATTAATTGGAAAATGAAAACCTACCAAATCCATAGGGATTCGTTTTCCATAAAAACAAATAAAATGCAGGTTAAAATGATTGTACCTTAAAATTCGATTTTCGTTTTCACGTTGTAATCAAATTTTTTAAAATGAAATTCGTTTTTCTCGAATGTGACATTTTCAATAAAAAAGTTTGCAATCAAATAGGGATTATGAGTAATTACCGAATTTTCAAGGGCGTTAAAACACCCGGCGCCATTTGATGCAAATACACGCGCCAAAATCATTCCCGCCAGTCAGTGTAAACAATTATATTTTCAAAGAAAACCATCCAAAAATTCCCCTGCCCGCCCAATTTCTACATATACAATCCCCCAACCCCTCAATCGCCTCTGTATTAATCTCTCTGACACTGTACTTACATCTTCTGAACGAAAAAAAAAAAAAAAATAGTGGGTTTTTGTTAGATAAAGAAAAAAATGGCTGAAATGGTGAGCCCAGATGCGATATCGACCATATTGGCGAACCCATCTCCCGATTGCTCTTCAGGTTTGCCGGAATTAGTTGTACAAGTACTGGATCTCAAGCCTACAGGAAGCAAATTCACGTATTTCTCTTAACTTTTTCGTTTTTTACCCTTAAAAAGGTTCAAGAATCAACAATATATTTTTTTTCCCTTTCTTTGCGTATGTGCTTATGTATTATGGGCTATGGCTAGAGCGAGATCTGGCTTAACTAAAGTTGATTCTATTATATTGGGAATAGTGGGATCTGTTTATTCAATAATTTAGAGGAAATCCATATATGAAGTTTTTTTATGATTCTTTTATATTAGCAATATTGGGTTCTGTTTATTCAATAATTTAGAGGAAATCCATATATGTAGTTTTTTTTTAGTTTTATTATTTGTAGATTGTTTTTCTAAATTATTTAGATTTTTGGGCTAGATTTTCCATGCAACGGATGTACCAAATTGGTGAAATTTTCTGATTATTTGCAGATTTACAGCGAGTGATGGGAAAATGAAGGTCAAGGCCATGTTTCAATCTACTTTGTCGTCTTTAATCACCTCTGGGAGTGTTCAGAACTTGGGTCTTATTCGGATTCTTGATTACACTCTAAATGACATCCCGACGAAGAACGAGAAGTAAAAATCATTATGCCTTTTTCTTCATTATGTTCTGTTAGCTAATTTTTTTTAACGAATGTCTAAATCTATGTTATGTTAATTTTTAGGTACTTATTTGTAACAAAATTTGAGACCGTATCTCCGGCACTCGACTCTGAGTATAAGGCCGAGGCAGAAACTAAGGATAGTGGCTTCGAAATGAAGCCAAAACAGGAAATGGATGTTGATGGAGAAGTAAAAAATGAAGTTAATGGCATTGTTTTGCAGCCAAAGCAAGAAATTGTGAGCAAATCAGCTGCTCAAATAATTCATGAGCAACATGGAAAGTAAGTGTTTTCTTCTATCTTTAGTTGCATTCGAAAGAATTTTGCGATAGTTGCGTGATGCCGCGATTTGATATTGAGGTGTTAATGTTGTTACAATTAATGAAAATCAGTATGGCACCATCTGCTCGTATGGCAATAACCCGAAGAATTCATCCGCTTGTTTCCTTGAATCCATATCAAGGAATTTGGACGATTAAGGTTCGTGTAACTGGGAAAGGAAATATGCGGTTATATAGGAATGCCAGAGGAGAAGGGTGTGTGTTCAATGTAGAATTGACTGATGAAGATGTGAGTGTGTTTTACAATATTTCTCTAGTATATTAGTTTTGTAGACCATAAAAGCGTCTGAATTAAATGATATGGTTCAGGGCACACAAATACAAGCAACAATGTTTAATGAGGCTGCAAAGAAGTTTTACGATAAATTTCAGTTGGGGAAGGTCTATTACATATCAAAGGGAACTCTGAAAGTTGCTAACAAGCAATTTAAAACTGTGCAAAATGATTACGAAATGACGTTAAATGAATATTCTGAAGTCGAGGAAGCTAGTAGTGAGGCTACTTTTATCCCCGAAACAAAATTCAGTTTCGTCCCGATTGATGAATTAGGTCCATATGTTAATGGGAGAGATCTTGTTGGTAAGCAGCCTAGCTGAAACCCTTTATTACACAATTCTTGCTCTACAAAGTATAATGTTTTATATCTTTGTCAATGATAGATGTTGTTGGTGTTGTTCGAGAAGTATCTCCAACTATGAGTATTCGACGGAAAAGCAATAATGAGACAATTCCCAAGCGTGATATAACTATCGCTGATGAGACGTAAGCGTTATGCCTCTTTGATTTTGCATTTACTTCCCTTGAATGTAAAGTTGAACCTATGATGTGTGATTTTCAGGAAGAAGACTGTCGTTGTGTCTCTATGGAATGATCTTGCCACGAGTGTAGGACAAGAACTGCTAGACATGGCTGATAAATGTCCAGTAGTTGCAATTAAATCACTCAAAGTTGGAGATTTTCAGGGTATTTAAAATGTTGTATATATTATTATTACAAATCAAGTCAGAATAATCTGAACAATGTGCTAATTTTATGTCGATACTTCAGGTTTGTCGCTGTCAACACTGAGCAAAAGTGTTGTGGTAATCAATCCAGACTTACCAGAAGCCAAAAAGTTGAGATCTTGGTAAAATAATTGTTCTGTTGGATTTTCAATATTTGCTCGGGTTTCTTACCCAATTGTGATGAATCATTTTAGCATATGTTGATTGATGCAGGTATGATTCTGAAGGCAAAGAATCTTCTTTGGCATCTGTTGGTTCTGGCTTAAACCCTTCGACTAAAAGTGGATCTCAATCTATGTACTCCAATAGGGTCTTGTTATCTCATATCACCGGTGACCCATTGTTGGGCGAGGACAAGGTATATATTTTCCCATGACTTTAATTGCTAAATCTAAGTACGATGGTGAAAATTATTGGCCCATAGTTTAGATAAAAAAAAAAAATTTCTTGGCAGCCTGCATATTTCAATGTTAAAGCGTACATAAGTTACATCAAACCCGACCAAACCATGTGGTATCGTGCTTGCAAGACTTGTAACAAGAAAGTCACGGATGCTATTGGTTCCGGATATTGGTGTGAAGGGTGCCAGAAGAACGACGAAGAATGCATCTTGAGGTTCGTGACTTGTGAAAATACAAGTTACTGATCATTAAGTTATCCTACCTCGTACATAAATGTCCTAAACAATACCATTTTTGTTGGACTGCAGATATATAATGACTGTAAAAGTTTCTGATGCAAGTGGTGAAGCCTATTTTTCTGTTTTCAACGAACAAGCAGAGAAAATAATCGGATGCTCTGCAGATGAACTTAACGAGCTAAAATCCCAGGTTAACATTGTGCAACCTTAATTTATAAAAACATGGGTCATTTTGTCTGAAATCTTGGTGATATCTATTGTTATTTTTCTGAATATTAGGATGGAGAAAGTTCTTATCAATTGAAACTGAAGGAAGCTACCTGGATTCCACACCTTTTTCGAGTTAGTGTTACTTTACAAGAATACAACAATGAGAAAAGGCAGAGGATAACTATCAGAGCTGTTGCTCCTGTGGATTATGCAACTGAATCGTCATTTTTGCTTGAAAAAATATTGAAGATGAAAATCTCTAAAATACAGTAACTCGGTGTATTTGTCGATAAGGTGACTCTGCTTTTTTACTAGTAGTTTTTTGAACCTTGATGAATATTATGTTTATTAGCATTTTATGGTATTGGTTATTGCCAATGCTTGTAATATATCGCATTTGTTAGTGCTTTTCTTGTATGAGGTATACCGTATACTGATGGTGCGGCCAATGTCAAGGGGTCGGTAGTAGGACCGGACCGACTTTGAAACAAGACACGGTCTTGTTGACATGTTGGTTGTGGCAAAAAAATATTGATTGAAATCATGAATTGTTTTTTAAATTATTTAATGTCAACATGTCACGTGACATGTTGTCAACATTATTATACATCAAGCATTGTTCCATTTGATAATTAATATTAATGATCTTTGAGCTCGAGAAATGTGATTTTCATAATTGATTCTTAACCGTATTTTCCATTCCTCGATAATAAAGATATGACTTTTTTTTTAATGAGCTGATTAATTAATTAATAAAGATAGTCCAAATCTCTGTAAAAGTATATTAATTAAATCCAAATTTCCAGTCAAAAAGTAAGCAAGAGATTTTTTTGATATGAAAAATTCAATTGAAGATGAATATTAGAGAAATTTTGGCCATATCCATTGAATCAAATATCAAAATGTTAAACTTATATGATCACGTTTGACTTTTGGCCATAACCATACAAAGATAAAAATATGACTTCTAACTTTTTGAGATTTTCTCCCATTCATTCATGTGAAATTGCTTAGAATGTCAAACCTTTTATTTCAAATCGGACAATTACATCGAGCTCGTCTCTACAGATACGTTTCAATGTGTATTATGAAGTCTTTCAATCTTGAAGCATGCTACACGTACAAGACCATGGGCCCTGTACTTGTAGAATTATTCTTCAACCTTTGTTAGTTAAGATTTTGTTTTTCAACATTTCACACGATGTGATTATGAGTTATCAATTTTTAAGATTAAAGTTTTGGGTTCCAAAGTATTTAAATTGGTACCAAAACTATCAATATAAACGTTAAAATTGCACGTGACTTTTACATGACTTACAATTACAAGGCAAAATCGACAAATCACTCGACATTCATCTTTAATTTGACAAGAATTAGTGTACAATTTGAATGTCCAAATTGACAATTTTTGTCACGTGAAGATTCAAATTCACACATTCAAATAATCTAACTTAACACCCGTTAAGTAACAATCCATCAATTATATTTTGTTGCATAAAAACCTTGATTATTGAATAAAATTCATAAATCCATATGTCAATCAACTTAACTTTAACTAACGATAAAAGTAACAATCTAGGTGAAATTCTTGCTTTTTGGAAGAAATTTATGCATATTTTAACCAAGAAATCTAACTACACATCTTGGTGGACGTAACGAATGCATCTAATATCGAGCAATCGATGGTAAAATCGTCAATAACTTCGGTATGGAAAAACATTTTTTAGCTATGGCTAGCAAAATCAACTCAAAATGATAATGTAATGCTAGATTATGTGTACTAAGCTTTCCTAATTTGACTAATGAAGTCAAAAAGTAGAATGCAGACCAAAACATAATGTCCCATAAAATAAAAGCCGTGCAATTTCCAGCTAAAATCATTATTTCTTGGTCAATTCAGTAGACCTTAACAATTTATTTAGTACGCTGAGATTTTAAAATATTTAGTTATTGCACAAATTTGTATTAATGGATTGAGTTGACATTTCGATTGATTCGATGGACAATTAACCATAACCTTTCTCACATGAATGATATGCCACACCCACGAGAATTTTACTCACGACCCAAAATTCAAATTTTGATACAAATAAGGAATTTTTCTTATCGTGGTAGAAATCATTACTATCAGAAAACTAACGTCATCCGACAACTAAAGAATCATATAATCACTCGTCTGAAACATTGCAATTAAAATTTAATTTGTAGCAATTAGGTCATTCAATTGGTCATCGAACCTCAAATTTCATCACTCGTCTTCTTTCAAATTGATGTAACTTATTTAATTGTTCGTCATACCGCAACATATCTTCTACGTAATCATTACGTGAAATGTCAACTTACTACTGCGCCATATTATAAAAAATTAAAAAAGATAAATAAATGAATAAAAGCACGCGTTCAAACATTATGGGACCCATTGAATGACTATAAAAGCACCAATTCAAACAGATGCCAAAGATGTGACGCGTTTTAATCTGACCGCTTCTAACTTTCATATTAATTAATTAATTGAGTGCCAGTCCTCAATTCTCATTACATTATCTTCACTGTTTGGAAATATATTAATTAACGGCGATTTAAAATAATAAAAATTAATAGTAAGCCCCTGTTTGATACACATTAAAATTTTTATTTTCATTCTTCTACTCATTTTTACCATATATTCTTCAATAAAATAATATTTTCCATCACATCAATAATTTTTCTTTTTTTTTTAACCACAAATTCTCCATCAATCTACTATTCTAGAAT